AGCCGCTGCAGGCCACGTGAAGCAGCCGTGGCAGGCAGGCGAGAGCTGTTCTTTTGGCCAGCGAAGGGGTGGATTATGTAAGGCCAGATTATACTCACCAGCTGAGAGGCCGGCTATTTATGGGGAACTGGGGGGGGGGGAGGCTGCAAGGAAAGCTCTGCAAAACCCCTAATGCACAGCCGACTTTGCCTCCGCCCTGGGTGGAGGGGCCAGCCACCCTACACCCCCAAAACAACCATCACAATAGGCCACGTCTTTCCAGCTCCTCTTAATGATCCTCAGCAGCTCCCACGGTTTCCCCCCCCTCCCACAAGCTCTGACCTTGGTTCTCCCTGGAATATGGGGAAGGGAAGACACGCCAAAGCTGGGGAGGGGATGAAACAGGGGGGAAAGGGCAAATGTCCCCCAACTGCAGGGACAGGAATCCAAACCTAACAAGGACATCGAAGAGATTAACTCCATCCTCTCTGGAGGTTTTAAGGGATAAGACAGGACAAGCATTTAACCAGGATGGAACGAGCAAAGGGTTGGACTAGAAGACCTCTGAGGTCCCCTCCTAGCCCTAGGGCTCTATGTTCTGGATTAGACCTCGATCAGAATCCGAAAAAAACTGATCAGAGTGCAATTGATAGATTGCACGCCATCCATCTTTCGAGAATGTTTTTCTGTCCTGCAGAAAAATAAATATTCTCTGTTTGCAATCTTCCATGGGGATAAAATCAAGGGGGAAAATGGGATTTGCACAAAGCTAGGATGGGGGAGGCAAGCCTGGGGCCTGAGATATTTCAAGCCCTATGGCCTCTCTCTCCCCCCCTTGATGCTGAGCTAAAACCCACATGCATGTATGTATGTGCGTGCATATCTATCTATCTATCTATCTATCTATCTATCTATCTATCTATCTATCTATCTATCTATCTATCTATCTATCTATCTATCTATCTATGTATATATATATGTATATATATATGTATGTGTGCATATCTATCTATCTATCTATCTATCTATCTATCTATCTATCTATGTATGTATGTATATATATATGTATATATATATGTATGTGTGCATATCTATCTATCTATCTATCTATCTATCTATCTATCTATGTATATATATATATGTATATATATATGTATGTGTGCATATCTATCTATCTATCTATCTATCTATCTATCTATCTATCTATCTATCTATCTAGCTAGCTAGCTAGCTAGCTAGCTAGCTATGTCTATCTATCTATCTATCTATCTATCTATGTCTATCTATCTATCTATCTATCTATGTATATATATATGTATATATATGTATGTGTGTGCATATCTATATCTATCTCTCTCTCTCTATCTCTCTATGTATATATATATATGTATGTGTGTGCATCTCTCTCTCTCTCTCTCTCTCTCTCTCTCTCTCTCTCTCTCTATCTATCTATCTATCTATCTCTATCTCTCTATGTGTATATGTGTGTACACATACATACACACACACACACATATAAAAAGCCTGCCCACCAGGAACTGGCCCGCAGCCACACAAAATGGCTTTGAAATAAGCTGGAGGTGGGGAGGGGGAGATTCTACTTTCTGTCAGATGTGCCTATTCAGAGAAATTTGATTTACAAAGCAAACATTCTCAGGCTACTTCTATCACTAGCTGCGGGCTCCTTCAGAAGTTAAAAATACTCTCTTATGCCCAGAGAGAGAGAGAGAGAGAGAGAAAGAGTAGGAAAGCAATGCATTTCGGGCTTAGAAACCGCTAATAGCATAGCAAAATACCTGGGAAGGAATTAAAAGCAACTACAGAGTTTAAGAAGTTTTTTTTTCCTCTCCCTCCCATCCCAGCAGGCTTATATGCGCCTGCTGACCGACCGGCTTTTTTGGAGACAAGTAAAAAAATATTTTCATAGAAAAATGGCAAAAGGGGAAAAAAAATCCAGCCAGCTTTGTTGCTCCTGAAAAGCCTGGTCAATAAAGCCAGCCAGGCGAAAGGGGAGTATTTTATACAATTTTGCAGGTCTGGGCCAAACCACTGAACGTGTGCCTGGCTGAGGAATTCTGGGAGTTGAAGTCCACAAGTCATCCAAGGGCCAAGTTTGAAGACCCCCTGCTCTTCACCCTCTCCATATCAAGCAGAGGAGGAAGGAGAAAAGATAAAACAACAGTTTCTCTAGGTCTAATCTAGAACCCAGAATCACTGGGCTGGAAGGGACCTCAAAGGTCTTCTAGTCCAACCCCCTGCTCAAGCCAGGCGTCTCATTCTAAGCTGGTCTAACAATGGACCTGTCTGTCCCTTAAAACCTCCAGTGATGGGAGTTCAACTAAGTTTATCTCCTGGTCATAAAATCCTCAAAGGGTGGGTTGTTTTTTTGTTGAAAACCTTGAAACATAATCACGGTGGCCACAACACAGAGGCTCTTGTTTCTTGCCCGCCTCTTGGTCGTGAATCAACTTGAGAAAAGCAGGAAGCAGGGATTAAATTATCCAGGGAAAGTCAGGGCTTACTCACCAGAACAGAGCATCTATCCAATCTGTAGCATCTCATAAAGTTCAGGCCTCAAGCATTTTTTATTTTTTTTAAAAAGGCAGGCTACTGAAAGCAGAACACCAAGTTTGCATTTTACCAAGCTCATCCCGGTTTGTTTTTTAAAAGAAGGAGGAATGGCTCAAAATCCCAGAATTCTCAGCTTGGCCAGGTCAATAACTTTCCCCGGCCGAAGCCCCCTCCAGCTTGGAGGAGGAGGAGGAGGAGGAGGAGGAGGAGAAAACGGGGGCTGGCTGACGACAGCTGCTTCCCAGCCGAGAGATGGAAAAAGCTGTCAAAATAATTTGAAAATACTCCGCTCTCGTTTCATGCAAACCTCCCTAAAGATCTGCTCACAATATACTTGGAAAGGCTGCAGGGGAAAATAGAAAAAAAACCAAAAACAAGCCAGCTTCCAAGGGCTGCTGTTTGTTTTAGTAAGCGTGCCCACTGCTTTCCTTTTGTGTGTGTGTGTGTGTGTGTGTGTGTGTGTGTGTAAGGTTCACTTCTCCAAAGCCTTGTTTTTTTCCTTCCTTCTGTCCAAAGAGAGAAAGGTCATTAAAATGCAGTGTCCTTATCCTCTCCCGAGCTCGCCCTTTATCAGCCCAGCGATGGATGACACAACACCCACCCCAAAAGGAACAACTTTACAGGAGGTGTTTCGTCCCAATGGAGAGGGGGGGGGAACGGGATGGGGGGGGAGGAGAGAGAGAATCCGTATGTCAAAGCTGCAATTAATTCTGCTCCGTGACAGCTTGGGTCATAACACGGGGGCTTCAACAAGATGCCCTTTGTACCAGGGAGGTAAAACCTCCAGGTCCGAGTTATTCAATTAAATGAAAAGCATGAGTCACAATCACAAGGACTTCCTGCCTCCATTCAGGCCAGCTAAACGACAACAGGTCGACCCCGCGCGCAGAGGCCGTCGTCCCCAAGCCGTGTTTCAGACGTCCAATAAATGCCTGCGCTTGCCACAAAAGACAAGAGAGGAGAAAAAACCTATGTTTAAAGCCGGCTTAATGTAACCCTGAACAAATCGCCACAAGAGACTTCCAGAGGCTGTCAGACCAGTCACTAGTGGACCTAGGCTAATTCCAAACACCCAGGAATCTCCTGCC